AATCGGATCATGAAAAGATTTTTAGTAATAACTCAACTCCAGCGCCAGCTGACGGATTAACTTGTGAAACTAAACTATCCGGAGACCCACTCAAACACACACACAAAACTTTGTTAAAATCCCTCCAGCCATTTAGGATTTCACTCACAAATATACCTACAGAAGAATTATATACACATTCAAAGATAAGTAAAAGTCAGAACGTTTGTACTTTTCCACGCCCCCTTTTTAAGGAGCCAATTTTTCTCAATGAGTATGGGATTAATTTCATATATCTCCATACGAAGTGTTCCAGTGCTGCACCATGAACTCTTCCAGAGATATGCAGTGTGAAATTTGGCCTGTATGGTAGGGGCAACGCCCCCTTTTCCAATAGCTCCATATTTTCTCCATAACTATGCGATTCTTTTCATATATCAACACACCAAGTTCCAGTACTCTACCAAGAACAATTCTAGAGATATGCAATAAGAAATTCTTCTTGTATGGGAGGTGCCACGACCGTATAAAGTTCCAGTACTCTACCATGAGCACTTCCAGAGATACTTATTATTAAAAATTCGGTTGTTATGGGAGGTGCCACGCCCCCTTTTCAAATAGTCCGAATTTTTCGTCATGAGTATGCGATTGATTTTATATATCCCCATACCAAGTTCCAGTACTCTACCATGAACATTTCTAGAGATATACAGTATCACACTTTCGGTTTATATAGGAGGTGCCACGCCCTTTTCCAACAACTCCAATTTTTCTCCATTAGTATGTGTTTTATTTCATATATTTGCGTACCAAGTTCAAAAATTTCACCATGAACGCTTCCAGAAATATGCAGCATGAAATAATCAGGTTGTATGGGAGGTACAACGCCCTCTTTTCCAATAGCTCCAATTTTTGTGAAAGAATATGCGACTGATTTTATATATCTCCACACCAAGTTCCAGTACTCTACCATGAACATTTCCAGAGATAAGCAGTATGAAAAATTCAGTTTGTGTAGGAGGTGGCACGACCATTTTCCAATAACTCCAATTTGTATCCAAGAGTATGGGATGTATTTCATATATCCCCATCCCAAGTTCCAATACTCTACCATAAATACTTCCAGAGATATGCAATATGAAAAATTCGGCTTGAAAGGGATGTGCCGCGCCCGCATCTCCAATAGGTCCAATTTTTCTCCAAGATTATGCGATCGATTTCATATGCGCCAATACCAAGTTTCATTACTCTACCATGAACACTTCCAGAGATATGCAATATGAAAAATTCGGCTTGAAAGGGATGTGCCGCGCCCGCATCTCCAATAGGTCCAATTTTTCTCCAAGATTATGCGATCGATTTCATATGCGCCAATACCAAGTTTCATTACTCTACCATGAACACTTCCAGAGATATGCAGTATGAATATCCGGTTTGTATGGGGGTGCCACGCCCCCTTTTCCGATAGCTCCAATTTTTTTCCAAGAGTATGCGATGGATTTCGTATATCTCCATACCAAGTTCCAGAACTCTACATCGAACATTTCCAGAGATATGGAGTTTGAAAAATTTGGTTCGCAAGGGAGGTTCCACGCCCCTTTCATATTTCGAGATTGTTTTTAGCCGATAACTATGCTTTGAACGTCTGCAGCAGGTGTCCAAAACTTCAAAAAAATCGGTTCAGCCGTTCTCGAGCTTTGCGATATACATAGATGGATAAGAGTTGCTGCTTTTAATATTGCGCTCACTTACGTAGAAAAAACATAGCAGCAGGGTTTTATGCGTAATTATATACATACATGTATATGTATGTACATAAATATGCATATGCAAATGTAAGTGCTAACAGCAATGTAAGTTGCTCCTTGTGGCAACATAAACGACTCTACATACATAATTGCCTACATTTTTTCTCCATAAACTGTACATACATATTTGTTTTTTTAACATTAGAATCAACATTAACGTTAACATTAGCACCTATGTATATGTATACATAACCCCTGCTTTACGTTGTATTCCATACGAATTAACAGCAGATGGCGCTCTCAGCGCTGATATGTGGGCATGTATGTTAGATTCATAGGATTTATAAAGTCCTTCAGTTCAATCTTTAGGGAAGTATTTTAACCTTTTTTTGTCTTAGACAATGAGAAGCCCGTCCAGAACCTCTAAACGAAATTTCAAGAAAATCGGTAGAGCCGATCTCGAGCTTTGCGAACAGAAAAAAACGCCTTTCAAAATATATGTTAGTATAGATTAAAGACTTAAATATATGTTCCGAAAATATCAACCCCCAAACTGTTTTTGAGATTGTAGTTTGAGCATTTCTATTTGTTTATACAGTATATTTTGCTTTGCTGCCTCTATGCTTAAGTGCACATTTAAGATACCTACCCCAAAATGCGCATCAGAGGCATTATTTTTAAAATTTATAAGGAAACTGCTCCGATAGATGCATTCAACATACCTGCACATTGGCGATACCTGCCTTAAAAATTGTTCGACTAGTATTAATTATTAATGAAAGTATTACGTTTACCTGCACTGGCCCTATTTTGCTCATCTCGCAGAACAACGAAAATGGTTATCAATTTATGTAGTTATATAGATAATTAGATAGCAATTGGTAAAAATTTCGCTTGCAGTAATTTTTACATGGTAAGTGCTCCGCCAATATTTGGTTTCATAGGGATTCGGATACCTCATTGAAGTAGTAAAGAAAATTCGCACGGGTGATTTTTTTGAGGTTAGGATTTTCATGCATTAGTATTTGACAGATCACGTGGGATTTCAGACATGGTGTCAAAGAGAAAGATGCTCAGTATGCTTTGACATTTCATCATGAATAGACTTACTAACGAGCAACGCTTGCAAATCATTGAATTTTATTACCAAAATCAGTGTTCGGTTCGAAATGTGTTTCGCAAACCCAATTGCTGCGAACGGCGACGAATCGACATTTCACGGTCTTCAGCAACACTCTCAGAAACAGACGCAATATTCTCTTCTGTACGCACTGTACGCATTCGTGTGGTTGGTTTAATGTCCAATAAAGTAAACTGAGTGCGAAACTTGGTCACAATCGCATTAATTGTTTGCTCACTTGGTCGATTATGTAGACCATAAATCGGACGTAAAGCGAACCGAACACTGATTTTGGTAATAAAATTCAATGATTTGCAAGCGTTGCTCGTTAGTAAGTCTATTCATGATGAAATGTCAAAGCATACTGAGCATCTTTCTCTTTGACACCATGTCTGAAATCCCACGTGATCTGTCAAATACTAATGCATGAAAATCCTAACCTCAAAAAAATCACCCGTTATTAGCTCTGATCCAGTACTCTATGAACTTACAGGTTTTTACACGAACTTGCAGGAAGTTACAGGAAAATATGTAGATCCCGTACTCCAAAATCATGTAAATGAGAGCGATTTACGGAGAGTTGCGTAGAGAATGAAGTTGCACGATTTTACCCGATGGTTTTTTTGTGGCCGTACTTTTTGCTGTTACTCACTTTTTACTCTCAATTCAGAGAGAGAGTTTGCTGTTTGACCTTTTTGCAGGATTTACCACGAAAAGTATTGGATCAGAGCTATTATATCCTCCATACATATGTATATATACATATATATGAACCTATATGTTCATCAGTTATCAACGGACCCAGTTAAAATGATTTCAGTATTTTCTAAATTTTCGCCTTGCTTTTTATCAAGACTACTAAACATATACCCCAAACCATGCTAAATAAATAAATAAATAAATATCAAGACCAATTGTAAAAAATGAGTCCATACATATGTATGTATATGGGCAAATCTAAAAAATGTATGTTTTATGTATCATTTTATTCGTAATCTCTTAATAAAATGACAAATATAGGTGTAATTCATTTTCATCAAATGCTTTAAAAGTTAGACAAGGAATAAGCATGAAATAGAAAACAAAAGAATAAGCTGGGTTGAAATTACGCTGTTCAAGTTTTAAATTTTGAGCAAAGATTTTGAAAGTTTAACTCACTTAATTGGGATGTTCTAATTCAATGGCATGCCATGTTTTTCCAGATTGGCTCCGATTTTCGAGATAACGGTACTTGAAAATTTGATTAAATTTTAACTATTTTATAAACAACTCCCTCAGTTTTGTAGTTATTTTACTATAATTTTGCGCATAACAGTTTTTTAATATTATCTTAATTATTCCTTTAAATTATCGAAATAGGTTAATATTAACATATAGCTCCAATACAACTGACTACTCAGATATGTGTTTTTGCGCTATAACTCTAACTTCGTATCTGAATAATAAATTGTATGCATGCTATATGTTAAATTGAATCTATACTAAATTTTAACCTGTTTAATTGAATGAGTTATAACGCAAAACAACGTCTCTGATCAATCAGTTGTATGGGAGCTATATGTTTTAGTGGATCGATTTCGATGCTTTTATGGAATAGTTAAGGTAATACTAAAAAACGGTTATGTGCAAAATTTTAGTAAAATATCTTCAAAACCCAGGGACTTTTTTTATAAAATAGTTAAAATTTAAGCAAAGTTTCAAGTACCGCTATCTCGAAAAGTAGAGCCAATAGGGTAAAACTGAGGACGCCATTGAATTTAGAAGTACTCCAATTAAGTAAGAGCAACTATCAGAACATTTGTCGAAAAACAGTTCCTTTGATACCACGCTCGAAATATAGAAGGAGCATCATTAAAAGTAGTAAAGCAGGGTTTTTACACACTTGTAGAGACAAATTTTTTGAAGCATTTTACAGGTATATGTAATTTTATAAGGACTAGCAGTATTTTCCAAATGTGCCTTCAATTAAAGTGTTTTTTGAATAAAAATTATGCTCAAGATCGCAGAATATTTTATCTTAAAAGTTAGTTTATTCTGAAAACACACCTCTTGCTAAGGTATCAAATTATTCGTAATTGTTTGTAGAATACAATACATACTTAAAAAGTTCTTAAAATTAAATGCTTCAAAACCTATACGCGATAAACCGAAAATTTTTAAAATTGTGAAATGTAAAGTTACAGACTTTGAGTTACTTGCCATTTCGTTATTTTTTAATGCACAATTTTCTTACCCACTACATATGATTGTGGTTACGATTAACTGTATAGTCAGATTAAAATTAATCATGATTAACTGTAATCAGATTGAATTTAATCGAATTAACTAATTGATTAAAAAATCAATCGATTAATGCCAACATTGATTTCACATACAGTTCTCTCCCAAAAATACTTCCAGAGATATGTATGTAATATGAAAATTCCAATTTGTATGGGAAGGGCCTTTAGTTATTGGAATTACTTTCAGTCTAAGACCATCCTTACGAAATCCGTAGTAAGTGTACCAAATTTGGTTCTGATCGGGAAACCGGTTAAGGAAGTAGCCTATTTTTTTCTCCAGGCAATAAACTATCTGTGGGCAAAATTTCATTTTCAAACAGGTGGAAATTCTTAAAAAATTAGCTTATTTTCCAATCTAGATCATAAGCTATCTGTGTGCAAACTTTCATGCAAATCAGTTCAGTCATTCCTGCGTATTAATTTAATTAAACTTTTCTAATAGGTGGCAACTCCTAAAATAGTAGCCGGTTTTCCAACCTAGGTCATAAGCTATCTCTGTGCCAAATTTCGTGCATATCTATTCAGGCGTTTCTGCATATTAATTTAATTAAACTTTTTTAACAGGTAGCAACTCTTTCAAAAAATTAGCCCATTTTCCACTGTAAGCCATAAGCAATCTGCTTGCAAAATTTCATGCAAAACTGTTCAGACATTTCTGCGTATTATTTTAATTAAACCTTTTTTTTTAGCAGTTGCAACTCTTAAAAAAGTATCCCATTTTCCAACCTAGCTCATAAGGTATCTGTATGAGAACTTCCATGCAAATCAGTTCACTTATTTCCGCGTATTAATCTAATTAAACATTTCTAACAGATGGCAACTCTTAAAAAATAGTAGCGTATTTTCCAACCTAGGTCATAAGCTATCCGTGTGCTAAATTTCATGTAAATCCCTTCAGTCGTTTCCGAGAAATAATTTAATTAAACTTTTTTAATAAGTGGCAACTCCTAAGAAATGTAGCCTATTTCTAATCTAGGTCATAGGTTGCAATAACTGTGCAATTTAGTACAAACGACCCCATACACCACACAATCGACCGACGCAAGCCCGATATAGCGTAATGTTTTTTTGTGGTTTAGGCGACATGTGCAAAGAAGTTCCGGGTTGTGTTTCCCTTATAAGAGGTACCAAATCAAACTTATAAATATCTGTATATAAATTGTGAGTCTTTAAATAACTAGAAAAAAAATATTTGCCTATAGACTAGTAATACTATTCATAGTTTTCAAAAATTCATTTCTACCAGTCGAAATTATCAAAATAAGGCGTTTGGGAACAAAAAAGTATCAGATATTACAATTTAGAAAAAAATATTAAAAATTATACAATTGTATCAAAACGGCAACGCTGATCGTGATGGAAAACGAAGTTAGTTAACATCTTGTCGTCATAGCGACGATGGAATTAATAGCGTCAGCCGAGTGAAAATATTGCTAAAGTAACAGAGGCAGCGCCGCTTGTGATACCCTTGCTTGCCTCACCGCTCGTGCCATAAATTCAAATTGGTTCGATAGTCGACATGCGTCTTCTGTATACTGTTTATTCTGTGGTAAAACTTATTAAATTTTCTATTAGAATTTATTTTTTGTATAGGAAAAACGCACCAATCAGTTGTTGATAAACATACTTCTTCTTCTTCTTCTTTTTTGGCGCTGTAAGCGCCTAAGCGATTTTGGCAGAGTTCAGCAAAGCACGCCAGTCGTTTCTCCTCTGTGCCAACTGACGCCAATTGGAAACGCAAAGTNCAACTGACGCCAATTGGAAACGCCAAGTGAAGCCAAGTCCTTCTCCACCTGATCTTTCCATCGCAGTGGGGGCCTCCCTCTTCCTCTGCTACCACCAGCGGGCTCCGACTTGAATACTTTCAGTGCTGGAGCGCCGGTGTCCATTCGAACGGCATGGCCAAGCGAGCAGAGCCGCTGTATTCTAATTCGCTGCACTATGTCCATGTCGTTGTAAAGCTCATACAGCTCATCGTTCCATCGTCTGCGGTACTCGCCGTCGCCAACGCGTAAAGGCCCGTAAATCTTCCGCAAAATCTTTCTCTCAAACACTCCAAGAGCCGCCTCATCGGATGTTGTCATTGTCCATGCTTCTGCGCCATATACCAGCACGGGCATGATGAGTGACTTGTAAAGCATGGTTTTCGTATGTCGAGAGAGGACATTACTCCTGAATTGCCTACTCATTCCAAAGTAGCACTTGTTGGCAAGAGTGATTCTACGTTGGATTTCAATGCTGACATTATTATCGGTGTTAATGCTGGTTCCCAAGTAAACGAAATTCTCTACTTTCTCGAAATTGTAACTGTCAACAGTGACGTGGGTGCCAAGGCGCGAATGTGCTGACTGTTTGTTTGATGACAGGAGATACTTCGTCTTGTCCTCGTTGACCACCAGACCCATTCGCTTTGCTTCCCTATCCAACTTGGAAAAGGCAGAACAGACTTCGCGGTTTTTGTTACCGATGATGTCGATGTCATCGGCATAAGCCAGCAATTGCACGCTCTTGTAGTAAATTGTTCCTGAGCGGTTCAGTTCTGCAGCTCTTATTATCTTCTCCAACATCAGATTAAAGAAGTCACATGAAAGGGAGTCGCCCTGTCTGAAACCCCGTTTTGTGGCGAACGGCTCGGAGAGGTCTTTTCCAATTCTGACGGAGCTGGTGGTATTGCTCAACGTCATTTTACACAGCCGTATGAGTTTTGAGGGGATGCCAAATTCAGACATAGCGGCGTATAGGCAACTCCTTTTAGTGCTGTCAAAAGCGGCTTTAAAGTCGACAAATAGGTGGTGAGTGTCGATCCTTTTCTCGCGGGTCTTTTCCAAGATTTGGCGTATTGTGAATACCTGGTCTATGGTGGATTTGCCAGGTCTAAAGCCACACTGATAAGGCCCAATCAGTTCATTGACGGTGGGCTTCAGTCTTTCACACAATACGCTCGATAAGACCTTGTAACCTATGCTTAGAAGGCTGATCCCGCGGTAGTTGGCGCGAATGGCGGGGTCACCTTTCTTGTGGATTGGGCAGAGCACACTTAAATTCCAGTCGTCGGGCATGCGTTCATCTGACCATATTCTGCACAAGAGTTGATGCATGCACCTTATCAACTCCACGCCGCCGTACTTTAATAGCTCAGCTGGCAGGCTCTCAGCTCCAGCAGATTTGTTGTTTTTCAGCCGCGTTATTGCTATACGTACCTCGTCATAGTCAGGCGGTGGAACGTCGACTCCGTCATCATCGACTGCGGGCTCGGATTCTTCTTCTCCACAACTTTCCGTGCTGCTACCATTTAGTAGGGCGGAAAAGTGTTCCCTCCATAATTTAAGTACGCTCTGGACATCAGTTACTAAGTCGCCATTATTGTTCTAACAGGAGTACGCGNGAAGTCACATGAAAGGGAGTCGCCTAACTCTCTGGTAAAATTTTCGGGCATTCTTCTTGTCGGCCAGCATTTCAAGCTCTTCGCACTCACGTATTTCGGCCTCTCTCTTCTTATTGCGGCAAATACGTCTCGCTACCCTCTTCAGATCCCTATAGCGGTCCCACATAGCGCGCGTTGCGCCCGATCGCAGCGTGGCCCTGTAGGCGCCATCTTTTTGTGGGAAATGTGGTTCCACTGCTCGCATATGTCGGCTTGTTGAAGAGCGGTCTCTGAAAGCAGGTGTGAGAGTCGAGTAGCGAAAGCGCTGGCTGTCTGTTGTGATTGCAGCTCTTCGACGTTAAGCTTTCCTTTCATATTTGGGCGCACATTTTTTTCTGCACAAAGGCGGGTGCGTATCTTCGCTGCAACAAGATAGTGGTCCGAATCGATGTTTGGGCCTCGGAGTGTGCGTACGTCGAAAACACTGGAAGCGTGCCTTCCGTCTATCACAATAGGATCGATTTGGTTTCTCGTTTTTCGATACGGAGACAGCCAGGTAGCTTGATGGATCTTTTTATGCTTGAACCTAGTACTGCATACTACCATGTTTCGGGCCACGGCGAAGTCGATCAGCCTCAATCAGTTGTCGGACGTTTCGTCGTGTAGGCTGAATTTTCCGACGGTGGTTCCCAAGATCCCTTCCTTGCCCACCCTGGGATTGAAGTCTCCAAGCACGATTTTGATATCATGACGGGGGCAGCGCTCGTACGTGCGCTCCAAGCGCTCATAGAAGAGATCCTTGGATGCCTCATCCTTCTCTTCCGTCGGGGCATGGGTGCAGATTAGCGAGATATTGAAGAACGACAGTACTCGGCGACGGAGTCTCTTTCCCACCACAAATCCTACTCCGAATTTGCGCTCCTTTAAATGGCAGCTGTAGTAGACGTCGCAAGGCCCCAGACATTGCTTGCTATGCCCCGTCCAACGCATTTCTTGGATGGCGGTGATGTCAGCTTTTGTCCTAACGAGGACATCAACCAGCCGGGCAGAGGCACCTTCCCCATTAAGGGTCCGGACATTCCAGGTGCATGCCCTCAAATCGTAGTCCTTTAAACGTTTGCCGTGGTCGTCATCATAAGGGGGGGTCTCATCCGAGGCTTTGCCTTGCTTCTTCACTGGAAGTGGTTTTTACGTGGCGGGTCCCAAGCCCAGCGCACAACCCATTGCTGGGACGGGGGTGGTTTCGCAACCAAATACACGTTTATATAGCGAGCCGCTTGCTCCAAGCAGACACCCGCTTGCAGCCGCACCTACTGGTGAACAGACGCTGCAGACTTCAGTGAGCCCTTAAACCGAATAAGTCAGAGTGGCCCCACCGAAGCTCCCTCTCTTTCTTTCGTGACCCAAGGCTCCACTGGGATTGGTTACCGCATTTCGCACATGGGTTGCTCACGTTGCCCAAAGTGCGCGAACGAGGACGCAATAGTAAACATACTTAACTACCAAAAGTAAGCTGAAAGGACATTCACAGGTGATAAGATTATCGTGGGACAACCAGCAGTTTACCAACACCACCGAAATTGATGCAAATACCCTTAGGGTCGGTTACTCAATGTCTGGTTAACACTAATCTCCGATTAAACATAGCTATCGACGTTACCGACTCTCTGTTATATGCAGATTAGTGTTAACCAGACATTGAGTAACCGGCTATTAAACTTACAATGAAACTTTGGAATTTAGGTGGAGGGGATCTTGCGCCCTACGCAGCCCATACCTGCGTACGCCCATGAATAGAACCAAGTTTGGTAGAAATCGATGAAGTGGTTACCGAGGTACACCTTTGTAGTCATCAAGTGGGTGGTGCCACGCCCAATTAATAAAAGTCTTATTTAAATATTGTTAAGAAAATGTTGTAAAAAGTAACTTGGAGTAAATTAGCGTCCCCAATAAGAGAAACATAGATTTCTGAAATTTACCGTTATACGGGAAGCGGGTGTAATTTTAGTCAGACTTGAATAATTTTCAGCGAATTGCTTTTCCGTACCAAGGTTATTAAGTATTATACCGTGTTTGGTTTAAATTGATAAATTGGTTATCAAGATACACATTTGTGGCCATAAGAGGGCGGCGCCACGCCCGTTATCCAAAAATTTATGAAAATATAATTTTCTGCTAAGTGGTTTTTGCAATCATGAATTTTAAATGAATTAGCTTCAGTAGTTACTCATTTATCTTAGTTTTCGTGTTTCTTGAGATGAGCGTTATATGGTAGGTGGTTGTGCTTAGTTCCCGATTTCAAAGAGTTTCAAATGATTTGTTAGGTAGAACATAGGCAAGGCTCGTACCGAGTTTGGTAGGTATTCGTGAAGCGTCTACTATTCAAAAAAATAAGTGGGCGAAGTCACGCTTATTTTCCAAAATTTTCATAATGATATTTTTCACAGAAATTTTACTTCACATACTAATTTTCCACAAATTACATTCAATATTTACTGAAATATCGTAGTTATTGCATTTTTTGAAAATACCTTTATATAGGAAGTGTGCGTGGTTACAGGCCGATTCCACCCATTTTAAATACCAACCTACCTTGGATAAAGGTCAACCAACATAGTAAATTTCGTTGAGATATCTCAATTTTCGCTCGAGTTATCGTGTACACGGACGGACAAACAGACATGGCTAATCTAATGGTGGCAAACTATCGCTAGTCGTGACTATCGATAGTGGGCGATATTTTTTTTTAACTATCGATAGTCTATCGATAGTCGCCTATTTTGAAAAAGATAAAAATCTAATTGGGGCGTATTCGTAGTAAAGTTGGTGGCATAAATGCAGAATAGCTCCAATTTTCAAATTTAAAAAAAAAAAACATATGAGAATCGATAGAGATCGTTGCGGTGAGTATAACGGTATATATATATTTTTTTCGGAAACAACAACTGTGAAAGTTATTAAGGGTCAAAGTTCACATCAAACAAATTTTTTAATCAAAATTTCTTAAAAATGAATGCAAGGATTTTAAAATTTTGGTCTCACTTGACAGGAAATTTAATTCCCTTTAATTGGATATACATACTTTATATATGCCTTGTTTAGTTTTCTCAAAAAAATGTATGTAAAAAAATGTTTAAAGAAATTATTACAAACCCATTTTCTTTTTAATTCCCTTATTAAGGATTTGTAAATACGCGAAAGGAGTTACGATTCTCTTCTCTAGGAACATAGAAAGGACAATTCTGCACAGTAAGGGTTATAATCCCTAAGCGAAAAAATACTGTGGAAAGGGTAGCCGGTGTTGGACGGACTAGGGTTATTTTATGCAAATACTTTATAAAGTGAGGACTATTGACAGCAGTTTGTATGTCAAATGAAAGTTTTATTAACTATAGATTTAATTCTACAACGTTTACATATAACAAATAAGGGGATTTAAAATAAATGGGTTTTTAAAGATTTGTTAAATTTTTTTTTTACATTAATACAATTTTTATAAAAACTATACATAACATATTTGTATGTTTGTATATCAAATTAAAGGGAATTAAATTTCCTATCAAATTAGACCAAAATTTTCATTATGTTCAGCTCAATCATCTCTATCGATCCCAATATATATACATTTTTTTTTTTTTTATTCGAGAATCGGCCCGAAAGAACAACTGGTACGATGAGGAATGTCAAGAAGCCGCAGAGAAAAAAGATGCCGCCTACAGGGTCACGCTGCGATCGGGCGCAGACGGGCGGAGACGTATTTGCCGCAATAAGAAGAGAGAGGCGTGAGAGACGTGAGTGCGGAGATCTTGAGATGCTGGCCGAGCTGATTGGACCTTATCAGTGTGGCTTTAGGCCTGGGAAATCCACCATAGATCAGGTATTCACAATACGCCAAATCTTGGAAAAGACCCGCGACACCATCTATTTGTCGATTTCAAAGCCGCTTTCGACAGCACGAAGAGAAGTTGCCTTTATGCCGCGATGTCTGAATTTGGTATCCCCGCGAAACTAATACGGCTGTGTAAAATGACGTTGAGCAATACCACCAGCTCCGTCAGAATAGGGAAGGACCTCTCCGAGCCGTTTGATACCAAACGAGGTTTCAGACAAGGGGACTCCCTTTCGTGTGATTTCTTTAATCTTATGTTGGAGAAGATAATAAGAGCCGCAGAACTGAACCGCTCAGGCACAATACTTTATAAGAGCGTACAATTGCTGGCGTATGCCGACGACATCGATATTATCGGTAAAAACAAGGGCTACGTCTGTTCTGCCTTCTCGGGATTGGATAGAGAAGCAAAGCGAATGGGTCTGGTGGTGAACGAGGACAAAACGAAGTATCTCCTGTCATCACACAAACAGTCAGAGCATACGCGTCTTGGCACCCACGTCACTGTTGACAGTTACAAGTTTGAAAAAGTAGACGACTTCGTTTATTTGGGAACCAGCATTAACACCAATAATAATGTCAGCCTTGAAATCCAACGGAGAATCACTCTTGCCAACAAGTGCTACTTTGGGCTGAGTAGGCAATTGAGAAGTAAAGTCCTCTCTCGTCGTACAAAGATCACACTCTATAAGTCACTCATCATGCCTGTGCTGGTGTATGGCGCGGAAGCATGGACAATGAAAGCATCTGATGAGGCGGCTCTTGGAGTTTTCGAGAGAAAGATTCTGCGAAAGATTTACGGACCTTTAACCCTTGGTGATGGCGAATATCGCAGACGATTTAACGATGAGCTGTATGAGCTTTACAACG